GATGGTTGATGTTCCTCTTTTGCAGTGTAACGGTGGAATGCTTTTCGTGATGGCGAGCGTCCTTGCACAGCTGGTAATTACTGGAGTGTAAACCAGCTGATGTAGTAGTCTGAGATGCTCAGACGGCAAAGCAGGTTAAGGGCGATATTTTCCCCTATACTGACTGTTGTTAAGCACATGGAGTTGATTTTTAGATCATACATTTTTACATGTGTATACATACATACGTGTGTGTGTGTGTGTATGTATGTATGTATACAGACACACTTTTTTTTATAGGAAAGACCATTCCCCACCCCTAAATGCCAAACCTTGCCTGTGAAATTAATGATATCATTGAAATATTTTATTAGACTGTATGTATTGAGATCCAAGTGTGCAAAGCCTGGAAGAAATGCAGACTTTGTGAAGCTTTTCAAGTGTGTTAAGGAAGATGGATGTAAACGTGTTGAGTCATGTTGTGTTTTGATACCTTTGTATAGGTTATGGAGATATTCTACAGTCCTTGCGTACTGGTGGAGGCTGGAGGGATTCCCGTTGCCCTGCTAAGACATGAAAGAACTGGAGCAAGCCCAGGGACTGCTGCTTTATGGCTGCACTTCAGGATCTTCTCAGAGAACCAACAATGCCCAAAGCCATCAACTTCCCCAAGCGGTTCAGGACGCAAGAGAACTACTTTGAACTCGTTTGTATGTTGGAATACGTCATTCCCAAGAGATGAATTACTTGAAATTTGACAGTTTGTGCTCATCCAAATGCACAAATGTGAGCGCAGATGTGAAAACAACTGCAGTTCCCCCGAGGCAAAGGAGTACTATGTATGTTCGGGCTGCAGTGGGTGGAGTGAGGAGTCCCAGTGTCCACAGGTAACTCACCTGGTGGAGTTTGTCAGCAGAAGAGAGTCTGCAGCGGACTGCGACTGTGAAGCATGAGAGATACCACGCCTGCCTACGCAAGCAGGACAGGGTGAGCCACCAAAATGCCTATTTCTTACCTGTGGGCTTTTGGACAAGCATACGTTGTATCAATCCATGGCATCAGACAAAGCTGCTTGTAAGTACGCTAATGTAAAAATGAGGTCTTGGGTGGTCATTTATGGTTCAAGTAGCAGTTTATATATTTATTATAATTATACACAACCTTGACAATCTATATTGCCATTCAAAAATAAATCGAAGTATTGTCGATTTGCACATGATCTGTCACTAATAAGAATCCCATTTACATACATAGCAAACATTTTGCATACTTAAAACACTGCTTTAAATTCTAACACTCCCATCTCTTCCCTCCCCCCATCCTGCGGAGATATGTTTAGACTATGTAAACCAACTTTTCCAATTATGCCACATTCAGGGACTACCACCTTTATTAATTTAATTAAACCATTCGAGCACTTTGTAGAGGTGGCCGGTGGGTGTAGCTTGTAATTGCATTTGTGTTTAAAATTATTCTTCACAGATCACGTTGCAGTGATTCCTGCTTTTCATTGCTTGATGTATTTCCTTCTGACCGGGAAGATGGAAAACAGGGTTTAATAACTGTATGAGGTAAGTCACATGAGCGCATTCCCGGTTTAGTATTCTGCAGTGCTGATAGTCACATTCAGTTGTTTTCACTGTTATTTACATGTGTAGTAAGTGGTTGAAGTCTTCAAATTTCAACTGTGGAGAATTAAGAATTCAGCTAAGAGTCAGCTACCATACGCTTTCTCTAGTGTACTGAGAGTTTGTATTTATACTCCAAATGTTATCTTGGGAGTTGAAATGAAAATTTACATGGAATTAACTGCCTTTTGTTAAGCAACATGGTTTTTACTACCTCTTTTGACAGAGAGCTTCTGTCTTCTGGTGCCTGAAAGGCTAGAAAACTTAGCGTGACAAAAAAAGTGTAAGAGGCAACATAATATTCTTCCATCCAGTTAAAGAAAACTCACAGCTAGTGGTAGCTAATGTAAGCATCCTTAGAGCGCGTGGATGCTATACTGACCCACAACTGAAGTTTGGGCATCTGGGCTTCAGTTTAGAAGGGCTCTCAGAAGTCAGCATATTGAAGCATTACAGTGTGGTAACAGAAAAATGAAAGCCCTGTTTTGACGAATGAGGTTCATACTGACACTAATCGATGGGAATTGAATTTAGCTTCTTTTCCTACAGCAGCTGGCTGGGTGCTTTGAACCAGCAAATGCAGTGTATTTGTAAAATGGTTTAATGTTTTTGAAAGCTAGTGTCGGTTAACTGAAAGGCCTGGATAACCAGAGCATTGAGACGTGAAAAGATTCCAAGGTTTGTTAAGGCTGCAAAGTTCTCACACTAGTGTCAAAAAATACTTAGGAAGAAAGTAAGTTCCCCTGCCAGCTCCTTGCCTGTTTCCTGAAATTACGCTTAAACGTAATCCTTACAGGGAAAAACCTCCACTTAAATACGGAGTAGTTGAGAACAGTAACAGGAAGAACCTATAGCAGAGGTTGGAGTTCAGCACACTGGGCTGTTTCAAAAAAATATTAAATAATTTCAAATGCTGAAGATACAAAGGAATCTTATAAACAGACAGATTGGGTGCTTTAGATTAGCAGCCTTCACTTTTAAGTGGAAGAACCAAACATGTCACGCTGCACACCACAGCAGCGGTACCCCCCAGCTGCCCACAAGGCGCAGAGAGTGCTGTAGCTGCGGGCCTGCATGCTGCACAAGTAGCATCGCACTAACTGCGGTTCCCCGCCACCGAGAGACAGGGGCACCTTCCTCCTCATTCTGCCACCTTGTCTTCAGAAGGCCAGCGGTAACCAGGGTTGGAGGATTCCGGGTCCAACCGCCTACAGTAAGTTTTGCAAGCATGCCCCAAAGGCAGTGTTTAAACAGTGAAGGAAGGACACTGCCAGAAGCAAGGGAGGGAGAGGATTCTTCATTCAAATTCAGACCCACATTCCAATTCAGACCAAACAAGGCAGGCAGCTATACTGGGTTATTTTATCATGTAGCACCCGTATCAGTTTAAAGAAAGAAACAAAGAAGAGTATAAAAGTTTAACTTAATGGGATTGTTAAAAATCTGTTTATGATTGAAGTTCAAGCTGAATTGAAGCTGTATGAAGTTCAAAGTTTAAACTACTGTAATAAAATCAGTTGTAAAACAGCCAGTAGCAACTTACTTTAGTAAAGCAAATTAATTTTAAAGCCATTTCTTGAGCAAGTCCATTAATGCTCAAGACAGGAGAGAATCAGTCCTCTTTAAAGGAAAGATGTTACTGGTAAAATAAAACAAAGTATTTACGCTATTTTATAACTAAACTTTTACATGATGTTGTAGACTGTGATTAACTTTTTAAAAAAAAAACAAACAAAACTCTACTGCCTTTACAAAGATAGTGTGGCTTCCTGCTTTTTCTTTTTGTGGGGTGGAGGGAACATTTTCAACTTTTTATTTTTATGTTGCAAGATACTCATTCTGGTGCTGTCAGGGTAGCCACAGGGTAACTCGCTTGTTGAGTCCGACGCACAAAACCTGATCTTCAAGTTGTGCATAGCTTATATAAGTACTTGAGAACCTTAAATCTGCATCCTGGTAAAATTTCCTCTTTGCAACAGAAAACAGATTACATATTAACAAGTCATATGTTCACATGTTTATGTGAAGCTCACTATGGCAAGAACAATTTTGCCCTTCCAAATGTGATTCTTAACATGTACGTCAGCAACCAGTTGCTATCGGCAGCCTGTGGGCAGCATTCCTCTTCACCAGGGATCTAGAGACAGAGCAGATGCACGGCAAAAAAGAACTATTCTAGTAAGAAAACCTTACTACAATTCCTTGTCTTAACCATATCTGCTTTTAAGCTTGCCATGTTAAGCAGCTGTAGAATTATTCCAGCCTTTATGCATAAGAATTGCCTCAGACATTTGTAATGTAATATTAAGCATCTGATGGCCATGAGCAGAAGACTTTCTGTTCTTACATATGACCTTTTAGCTATTGGAGAGCTTACACAGGAGATTTCCACTGTTAAGCTCTTCTGCCAACTATCAGGAAGTCTACTAGACAAATTAATGCGTATATGGGTTTTAGGAAGCCAGTACTTAAGAATGCTACTCATCACACTGCTGTGGCAAAGCCCCTAAGAAGATATTCACGATGTTAAAGCCTACGGGACCAAAGCTAGCTCAGTCATGTACTGACGTAAGCTTTGGACAACTGGCGCTGAAGTACAGTCGCCCCCTCAGTGCCAAAGATGTGTGACTACAGCGGCAGAATTTAAGACTGAGGTTGCAGAGCAGCCGCAGCTCTCTTCAAGGTCACTCAGTTTTTGTTCAAGGGCTTTAAATATGTAAACTCAAGGTGCCAGACCATCCACACCTGATTGTGTAAAGGAGGACAGTAGAGCAAAGTACGTGCATCAGTCACAAAGATACAACTCTAGCACCTGAGCTAGTTCAGCGGGTTTATATACAGCTGTAAATGATGCCGCCGCCTTCTGTGAAGGTATCCAAGAGTGTAGTTCACCTCTACCACCTCTAGCTGTTCGTGGAACACGAAGGGCATGGTTGGAGATAAAATGGCTGCCAAAGCTAGAAACAAGAGCATGACCCTTCACTTCTTTACAATAGCAACAAGCTTGTACAGGAGAACCGCTGCAGGAATGCCCAGTTAACGCCGGCACACCTAAATGCATTTCTGCAATGGAGTTCAAGTCACTGAAGTGTTACACTGCAACTACTCAGTCTCTTATGCTGACTTGACTAAGAAACCACTTTTCATAGTTAAGAGTAGCCCATTCCTATTCTGGTAATAGAAGAGTTGTTTAAAGTCAAAAGAAAAGTGACTTGCTCTAGCAAGTGCTACAGTACCTCGGTGACCGACAGCAGCATTCAGAATATATGAACGTACACTGGACCTTGACAACGTCTAAGATGTATCAAAGAAAATAGCGACTCAACTGTGTAATACATTATAGACACTTTCATTAGATCAACTAAATGACCAAAAGATAATTGGCAAGCTCTGCAAGTTCATCAAGTAGATGCCATCTTTGGGGTAATAATATCCAGTTTATAAGCTCTTTTGTTTAGCTCCTTGACCAAAAGGTTTACGTGCTGAGTACCAAGGCTTTAGTAAGCTCTCAGTATTTCTTTCAAGTTTGCAACAAATAGCTTTTAAGCAACCTCTAAATCAGGGTGCTAACATCCAGCTCGCACAGCGCAATTTCTGTTGTTTCTCCCCGCCAGCACAAGATGTGATCAAGATGTAGATTTCATTCGAAACAAAAAAAGTGGAAATAGCAACATGTGCAGTAAGACATTTTCAAGGGAAAGCTATGCAACAGTCCTCATATATTCTACCCCTTCGTACTATTCTCATTAGCATCATCCTATTGTAAGCACAGTACGTTATGTACAGCGATGTGCACTGAGACCATTCACTTAATTTCAGCACATGGCAGAGCCATTATGCTAGCATTTGGTAACTAAGGTTGTTAATGGGATGGGAATCTAAAAAATGTTTAAGCTTGTATTATTCAGTTTATATGAAAAAGCCCGTACAGTTCTCATGGTACATCAACACGATGGACTAGTATGCCAACTAACCTCTATTTTAATATTTAAATTATAACAATACAATAACTAGAAAAGGTCAGTGCTTCAAGTGACAACTTCCGCCACTTCAATTCCAATATTTTTTCCAAAATAAAGATGCAATTAGATCTACACTTGAGCATCAGTAGTGCAATACAGTATCCTTTCCTGAATAAAGGAGCTGAGGTTTATCCACAATAAAAGCTTTAAATAAGGTAGATTGTTGCCATTTATATATCAATTCTGTATGTTTGATATAAAATATATTGGGAAAGCTTAAACTGACTTATACAATCTACATTTGGCTAAAGCTCCACATAAGCAGCATCAGTGGAAACGAACATCAGAGGTGTACTTAATATAAAACACTTTCAAAACTACTCAGCAACAAATGACAGAAGGTTGGCTAAGAATAACTGAACATCTGAGGTGTGTACCAGACAAAAAGAATGGACCCTGTGGTTACTTGCACTATTTTAATTCAGTAAAAGAAATGCAAGATTTAGTCCACTTCCATTTCTCCAGGCGGTTTAGTCTGCTGAGAATTGTCCTTCGCTGGTTCAGGTTTCGTTTCGGTACCGCTCTGTCCGTTCACTGGTCCATTGTGTTCACCATTAGCTTTTGACTGCCCATCATTGGGAGGTTCTATCTTCGGTTTGGGCTTGTATATAATGGGATTACAGAAGCTATCCAATTCCTAGTTGTAACACAAAGGAGAGAGCAAGTTCATTTGGTAGCACAGTAATTGCATTAAACTAGAACGTTTCAAATTTGTTTCTGGGTCTTAATGACCTGGAATTTAATTTTCAAGGACTAGACATTTCAATTCTATTCAATTCAATTCAAGTCTAGAAACTTAAATAAAACCCTTCACTAGCTAAAGAGCTTCCGATCTGTTAAAAGCCTATATGGTAATCCATTTTCTAGCAAGCCTCGTGCTGTAACTTAGGATATTTTATAGAATGGCTTATGCAGAGGTACTGCTGTAAATCAAGAGCCAGAATTGAAGACTGATAAAACTGCTGCTCCCTCTGCATGGATCTTTTCATAGCTTTAAAATCTCTGCAGATGTAATATTCTAGCTCAACACAGAGGCCAAAATCTTGTTAAAGAAAAACCTACTAGAATGCAACAAGTACAATTTATTATTTTTTTTTTACCTTAGATTTTGTCAGTATTTCTGCCACTTTGACAACTGGATCCTGAGTTAGACTTAGTTTGTTCTGGGCATTCATTTTGCTGTTCAACCAATTCATAGCCTCATTAATGTATTTTTCAACTTTTTCCATCTCGGCAGGATCTAGGTGATCGTATTTTTCATCCTAAGGAAAGAGATATTCATATCATCAATTAATATATGCTTCTCACCCAATTAAGAATTTCATGGACACATAATAAAATAGGATAACATTGCTACAACCTGATAGAAAGAGTTTTTAACAAGCATTTAGTACGAAGAATGATAGTAGAATAAGACAGGACGTTATTTTTAGACATTTGAAATTTTGCTCTGAAGTGCACACTGCTGAAGCACAGGTTAGTAATGAAGTTGCAAGAAAAAAAAGCACCTGAGATTTACTGTGGTTTGATGAACTAACCCCAAGAGATAGTCTTGTAAGTTATAGAAACAATGGTAACAGCCATAACTTGAGATACCCATTTCAAGTGGTACAAGTCACCATAAAACATGTGACTATGTTTAATTTGTATTCTCATGAAGAAACCCCTTTTGCCAGCAATCCAGAACAGTTTAGAAGTTCTCAGGAGCAGAAGCACAACAGCCATTTTAAGGCAGCTTAACAGGTTAATCCTATAGGATTTCTTTTTAAACACAAAAAAACTCTACAGCCAAACTCAAACACCCTTAATAGTTCATTCCCTAAATAATTTGCTTCTACCTTATTTTTGTATGCTTCTACTGCTTTCATAAGGAGCTGAATCTTCTTTCCCAGTTCATTTAAAACTTTTGGTCTCTCTTCGTGTTCCATGTATCTTTCCTGAATAGGCTGTCCAAATTTCTAGAAACAGAAGCACAAAGATCTTGACAAAATACAAGTTTACTTAAGTCTGGTCTAAGAATAAAACATGGCATTGCAAGGAAGGCTGCCTTTAAGTCCTTTTCTCACCCATTCAAGAGCGTAGTCTTTGCATTTTGCTTTAGTACAACAAAAAAAAAAAGCCCAGAAGTTTAAACACAGGACTAGTGCCTGTCCTTATTAGGCTTAGTATTTTGCAGTTATTTTCAGCAAAAAGAGCATTTGGAACAATGCATTCAGAACTGAGAGAAACAAGAGACAGGATTTACATGGATGGTTTAATTTTAAAAAGTAGCTCATCTGAAAACATCACATTTTATCCATTGTCCATTTTTTCCCTTCTCTTGAATACTGGTAATCCAGGCAAGAAGGCAGTTGCCAGGATCTACACTGCTGTTTCCATCAGTTATCCCTCCCCCAAAGGGAATCTGACTCGAGAGAAAACAGTTGGAGCCCAAGAGCTAGAGACAAACTTACTACAAACAGAGTAGCTAGTCATTCATCAGAATTCACATTTTCCCATGAGATTATTAAAATCTGAAGCATTTATGTTTTTTTTGTCATTACTAATCAAATGATAGTGGAAGCTACTGTTAAAGCACTCGTCAGCCTTTAGCATTGGATATTAGACCAAAAATTCAGTTTTATGATACAGCTATAGAAGACCACTGAAAACAGGAAAACCAGAGCATCTATTCTGGAGTGTAATTCCAAATACCTGGGAGAGCAGTCAAACTACTCAAAAGCCTCTTTCAGATTGTAACAAGACTGACAGAAAATTCCCATAGCAATTAATTTTATTGTCACTGATGACAGTCTGCTTCATTTTGACTGTTTTCAAATTAGGAGCACAACTGACATTAAAACAAGCTGTATTTCTAGTTCTAAATATGTTCATTTCACAACTAAACTTCATCCAGATACAACTTGAACGTCCATACTTAAAAGTTAATGGATTTACAAAACTCACATACGAGTATGCACACACACACCCCCATTAGAAGAGCTTTGCTTACTTAGCCATCTATATTTACATAAATGCCCCCACCTCCAAACACACACACAGTTTTTCTAGAAAGTAACTTAAAACCTTACTCTTAATTCCTGGAGCTTATCCATGTATACTTGTTTTGGCTGGTCCTCTCCGTCTTCATAAAGCCAGTTTTCTGTGTCCTCCAACATCAGGGCCAGCTTGTTAGAATCCTATGAAGCAAGTTAGGGATACTCTAGTTCAGAAAGGAACACGACAAATGAGACTTCTCCCCCCCAGCACGCAAAGAACGCCCCTACTCAAAAAAGACTGTTTCATCAGTTTAAAATATTCAAAGTGATAGTGAAGGAAAACGTCAGTTAACAGAGTTCAAAGCCAAGATTTTACAGAACGGTAAGAGGCAGAACAGCCCTAGCAATCTGATTTGCCGGTGAAGTGGGAGCTTCAGGATTGATTTTATAAGCAAGCACATGCATCTCTTAACATTCTTGCGTATTATCTTTACATGGGAAGTTCTGCTTCTCAGGTTCTCCGACAGCAGGATGGAAGAAGAACAGACAAATTTGGACAACTATATATACAGTTGAAGTTAAAATTGTTGTAATTGGACTCTATGGGCTGTAAACAAAGACTTTTAATTATTCAGAAATAAAGATCTTATCTATCCCCATAACTTATGTAAGAGATTGTTTTGAAACTGGCATGCGAAAGACAGCCTCACACCCTTGAGTTTACACTGGAAGGGTGTCTGCACTGCGTGCTGGGTTGATGACCAGGTAATCCAGAGAGCAGACCTTCAAACTGCTGCTGGACATTTGTCGATTCAACAACTGGTTGCTTGTGTACCAGCCACTTTTATTTAGATGGCTGGTACAGAGAAATGATTATAGGACAAGAGTTCTTTCAATACTGCTTTTGCAAAAGCCCAGCATACACAGCTTTCTTCATCACCCTTATTTGGACTTTTAGGTGGGGAAAGAATCGTGTTTCTAAAGTTAATGAAATTAGACAATAAAACACAGAGCTACAGACACTCCGTTTCTGCTCATTTTCATTTTATTCCTATCCACTCACACCATGTAGAAGCTCATGGTGATCTGTCCTGCTTTCCTAACCCCACCGTAGGATTTTTATTTTCCACCTGCATCCAGAATCTTTCCTTGCCCCTGAGAAACGTCTCAGACAAAAAACTCTGCATGATTGCATGTCAAGTGTAAGCGTAGTTTTTGAACTTCACTGGTGTGAAGTTAATCCATTTCATATTCCAAAACAAATCCAAGCGACCCCTGCAGCCTCTGCATAACCCACACTCAAAACTTAGAGATACAAAGGAATTTTTTTCCAACAGTTGAAACACATAGGCAAGTCTTACTTCTTCAGTGATGAATTTCTCAAAGACTCCACACAGTTTGTCTCTGAAGTCATACACATATTCTTCCACTGCATTCTTAGCATCATTTCTTTCTTTCTCAAGCTTGTCTTGCATCATCATCTTCCCCTAGGGCAGAGAAAAGCTTATTTAAAACTAAAAGCATTTCAAGTGTCAAGCTTAATGATTACCCTCTTTGAACTGTACCACAAAACTTTGCAGAAGCTTGCTAATTCACAATTACGGATTAAAATTTTTACCTTTGTGCAAATTATCTTCACTGCAGGCAGAACTGGAACAGGGCAAAAAACGAGTTCCTATTTGGAAGCTGTTTGGCAAGTGCTTCAACATAAATGGATCAAATATCAATTATGATCTGACCACCACAAACAGGACTAGAAGGCAAGACAAGCCTTGACTCCGGTTTGGAAGTCACTAGGAATCATTCTGCCCTACAAAAATGATTTCGTATTTTATTCATCAGGCTGACCATCTTTCAGATGGGAGCTTATGCTGGTGGGATCTTCACAGGCACGATACCTAGAAAGTTCAGAAGGGATCCTCTGAAAGGCAGGTTTTCTACATGTTGTAATACTTCCCTGCTGACGTAGGACTTGAAGGGCAAAAATGTGATGTAACTAAGGACATAGCTTCTGTAAAGCACCAAAAAACCATGCAAATGCTACTGCTGACCAGTATCAGGTCAGTCGATAACAATTAGCATTCCTGTAACATCCTGTGCAGCCTCTGCTGGCTATCCTAGGCGTTTCCTGCCTCAGAACGGCATTGATACTTTGTGCGATGACAAGCTAAGAGGTCAAACTCAGACAGCTGCGTAGTTAAGTCTAGTGAAACTGATTAACTTCTCCAAAAAAACCCCCAACCAAAACAAAACCCCTTATAATTCACGACAAACCCCCAAAGGAATTCTGAATTAGATAATAAGTTTATGGTTGCAAATGCTCTCTGGATAATTATTTACAGTGACATTAATTTGAGTGGTCATCTGCTTATGCTGCTTACCTCATTTTCTATATAGCAGTTGATAAGATCTTGTCCCAGTTGTCTATAGAGGCTAGCCTGTATAGGTAGGTCAATACTCTTAACTTTTGCTTTAGCCTTCGGCTGGGCTGGATGATCTTGCTTGTCTCCAGAAGCAGCCTATTAAAAGATTTGCACTATTAAGAAACTTTCAAGAGTAGAAATATTACTACATTTACGCTCAAAAGAGAGAGACAAATGAATCTAGTGTAACAGCTACAAATTAATCATATGTAAACGAAGCATCTGAATAGCAGAGGACTAAGTAGAATCACCACTACCTTAGTTTTGAACCAAACTGGTAGAATTTAATTTCTTTAAACATAACGTGAAGAGCTGCTCAGAAAACCTGTTCAAAAGCTGAAGGCACCGCATAGTCTTCTTCATAATGTTTCCTAAGTTTCCCTAGATTCCATCTTCACTATAAAACTGTGTTAACAGAAACTTACTTCAAAGTCTTAATCATATACCGTGTTGAAAATGAAAGTGCTAAGGTAGGATTCCTAACGTCACCATTTCAATAGAGCTGTACTCCTCTAAATGCAGTCCCATGTTTGCAGCCAGCAAGATGAATGACTTTGAGAATACTGGGCAAAAAAAGTCTAAAGGGAAGCAACATTACATTTCCTTATCAATACTGAATACAAACTTTGGTTTCGGTTCCTGCATTTTCAGTTTCCTCATCTGCTTGGTTCTGTTGTTCGGCTTGGCTTTTCTGAATACCTTCATCTTGATCAACCTGCATTTTATCCTAGAAAGAGAGTTACATAACTGAATACAAAGGTTTGCTGTACAATTGAAGACTGACATCAATTACAGTAGATCACAGATACTATATAAGGACTTAAGAATCAAGAATTTTTGATTCACCATGCACCAACGGGCATTTTGATACAGTACTTGTATTCATATCTTTCTCAAATTAAACGGAAATTCTATTCTGCCTGTCCCCCTTGAAATAATTATGAAGGTGCCGTCTGTCCCCTATTAAAGAATTACACTAAGCCCTGTGAATACTCCATTTTAAATTAGAAATAAATACACATAGAATGTATGCAAAGAACATTCTAGAAACACACCACCAACACAGGCAATAACAATAGGTTCTCTATGGAACAGCCAGAACTTTGACCTCGTATCATTTTTCACCTAAACTTTGAGGTTTGTAATCCAAAGCAGAAGTAATTTCGTCATCGTAATTGTTACCTGCATCTGTCTCATCAGACCATAAAAAGTAAAGTTTCTGTAGTAGCCTCTTGGAGCACATGAGCAACTATCTTCCCTCCCTGCCACCCAAAATTAAGAAAGTTTCACTTAAATTTATCTGTAGTTCACCGATGCCTTATTCTAAATTTAAGGATCTTAAAGACATCACTAATTACTAGTGCTGATCACGTGATTTAGTTTAAGTAATACAATTCCCTGTCATCATTGCAAAAAACCTTTGAATTACATAGTAATGGATAAGTCTAAAGTTTTCAGGATGACTCTAATACTCGGCCATCCAGAGCATCAATAAATAACAAGCTGTAGCAGAGGTCTGAAAGGTGTAAGATTACTTCCATTACAAGGAACTAGATTCCTGCATTCACAGACTACATATGCATGTAAAAGAATTTACTGTTAGTTCTGCGAAATACAAGAAAAAGTTATTTAAGGAATTCAAACTCTAGCGCAGGTGCGTATGTTGCAGTTTAGCTATGTTAATTGATTCAGCAAGTTTTTAATGGTAACAGTTGAAAACAAAAAGGGTACTTTTACAAAATTTAAGTTTTGTCACTTCAGAGTAGGAAAAAAAAAAAAAAATCCTCATTTACTGTTCTTACTGTTCACACAGAAAAGGCCACAACTGGAAGGAACTCTTTTGCCTACACAGAAAAGCTACAGGGGGGAAATAATACATAGATACACCACAAACCTCCTCCTCAGAGTCGAGGGTATCATCCTCAATAATGAAAGGTAATTGCTGACAGGCACCATTGTAAAACAGAAGATGTGTTAGATGAATGGAAGTACCACACACTGAAAGCCTGAGGATGGAAGTGGTTGCTCTTGCACTGAACACAGCGTACTCATCTCAGTAACCTCCGCGTGCAGTACGCTCATTACGCTAAACGCCAGCTGTGTCACTTTGAACTGTTTTTCACTTGTATACAAACATCAGATGCAGTGCGCTTGTCCACAAGGAACTGCATCGTGTTTGGCATTTCAAATACGCTCAAATTCCTGGAAAGCAGTATAATATTTAAGGAGTTGCTTGCATCAATTATGTAATGCTACTCGTGTCACCTCTTGCTTTAAATTCCTGTAGTATATTCAACTAAAGCGGCAAAAGCTGCTAAGGACAGATTTTAAAAGACAATGACAGGAAATGCATTCACCCCTTCCTCTAACTAAAGCTGCCAAGTGTTTGCTTTCTGTCCAACCTTACTCCCCCTAAGGAAGCCCTCCCCCAGTATGCCTGACAGCCTGTGAGACCGGCCACTCTGCTGAGCACTCTGCAACCTCCGAAAGACAGCAGCAGTGTGATGCAGCAGATGCCCACTGCTTTATCCTCTTTCTCTACGCTATCATCTCTCTCCCCTGTGAGCCGTGACATAACCAAAATCCCAAGATCCCAAGCTATAGAAGGGCACAAGCAAAAAAGAAAGGCTGCCAAGGCCACCGCTGGTGTGTCGTTCCCAGCTGCAAAGCGCTCCCTGGCACCCAGTCCTCAGCTCTACAGCGTCAAATGTAATAGCTGCACCTCACTACTCTCAGCTATCTACTTTCAGTATGCAGTGCGCTATCAAGAAAGTTGATCCTCCTTGCGCTAGAATGAGAGAACATAATTTTGTTAATTTCTCAGTATTCATGACAAAGCTGTTGCACATTTATTTCCAGTGATTTTCCCCTATGGGCTTACAAGCCAGTTCGTCAGAACTACCAACACTGAAGTACATAAAGAAGTGCTCTTAGTGGAAGAATGTTTATGTTTAAGTTTTCCATATATAAAGAAATACCGTATTTTTTTTTTACCCAATGAAAAAGTAGTACTTGAGAAAAACCCAACCTTTAGAATCCATTTGTCAATAGATCTCATTAAATATGCTGCCATTTGATAGCAACACTAGATAATGCTAAGACTGGTAGAGAGATCGTAAAGAACAATGAAAAAATTATTTTTTTCTTTAGAATCTGCTTTTACATTCTTTTTTGCTTTCTTAGTGCCACATGTCACCAGTACTTCAATAATAAACATGAAGAAATGTGTTACATAACTGAAGAAATAATTTAAGGGTGGAGAAGTAGTAATTGTCAAAAACTATACACTATGATTCAATCTCTAATTATCGGCTCTCTTGTCAGAATTACAAGGAGTGTAGATATTTACGAGTTTACCTACCAGCTCATCATCTCTGCCTTGGTTCTTACTTGATGATTCAGTGTCCATAGGCATGTCATTGTGATCTCCCTCTACATTCTGCTTCTCTATTATAGAAGCATTTGCCACGCTGAAAAGGCCGTGAATATTGACGCGCACTTTAACCTTCACTTTGGAATTGTCGCCATCGTGTTGGGGACCAACATTTTGAATAGTGAAACGCCCTTGAAAAAACAGAGATGGTTTTAATTATTGTTCCAAAAATAGTGAAAGAGAAAAAAAAGAAGTAAAATACATTCCTTGAAGGGTGTTAATTCAAATAGCAACTTCATGTAACTTTATTTAAGTAGTTGTCAATTCTACAATGTAAGCTGCAGCTAGATAAACTAAAACCTGGTTCCCCAATTACTATCAGTTAACTGATAATTGATAAGATGTTTTTGCTTTATCTGTATTTCATAAAAAAGTCAAGATAACACTTTATTAGGTGTTCTACGTCTCGGTTGCCTTCTCTAACCATCACACTAGAGAAACTTCTCCGATTCATCTCAAATGGTTTCTTTCATCCACGTAACTCAAACTTCCCCCTGAAAAATAAAACGTTAACAGAGAGAGAAGATTCTATTTGAATTTGGTAACATGGATGCACTACAGATGTCGGAGAATGAACAGTGCTTATCAAGGCTTCTAGAAGCAGTGACATCGATACTTTATTTTGCCACTTGCTGGAAGTTTGAGTGTAAATGATGCAGACTGTGCACGTGTAAGGGAAAATGTTCTTCCCTAAAGATGACAAATTTCTTGCACTGACAGCTAAACAGGTAGCACCAAGTTCATATCTGATTCATAAATCAGTAAATGAAATTGTGATTTAGTTTAAAGACCCTGAGGAGTCTATTAATAACTGAAAGTAAGGTAGTGTTAGCTACCAGGAAAATTACTCGTACCATCTAATGCTTTAGACTCTACTACGGATGCTTAAGTTCAGGAACTGCCTATTTTGTATGTTCTCAGATTAACACAAAGAGACATGACAGATACCTGTCTGGACAGATAACGATCTAGTGCTCACGGGTCCTTCAATCCGATTTCTTTGAAAAATGAAGGCTGGCGGGCACATAAGATCCTTATCCATTTTATAGAGGTTGAAAGAACAAGACAATAGAGCACTAAACTCTTTGTACCAACTTTTTTTAAAGCATTCAGAAACAGTGAAGACAGGCAGAATGAAGCAAGTAGATTTTTTTAGGAACTGCCAAAAGAAAATGTCGATACTGTTTGATCACTGCATCTAAACCAGGACAACTGTGCTGAGCCTTTCTAAAGAACTTAGGCTGTTCTATAACCTAGGAAATATGGAAGTAACGTATCTTAAGAAGAAGGAGAACCACTTTCCCCGTTATCAACAACAGTTGGGTATGGGGTTTTTATTCACGTGTCCTTACCTATTCTGGAATCAGGATAAGGCACTTCATGCGGATGGGTATAGTAAGCTTCCAGGTCAAAAGGCTCTTTCTTGTGAAAAGTAATTACTTTTGAGAATGGAGCCGCATGGTTCTTACTGAAGACTTCACACTCCCTAAAACCATAAAATATTAAGTAAGGTTAAACCACGGAGCATAACACAATGGGTAATCAAAATCAAGCTATGTTAATGATCAGCAGCTGTGCTAACCGAGCAGCTAAATAACGTAGTTTAAGTCAGTTTATGACAGGAGTTGCAAGTTGAAGGCCTGTAGGTCTCAAAGTTGGACTACGCATTCTATGTCACACTTCTCAAAAATTAAGCAACTTCACACCAACATTTTTTTAATTAAACTTATTTCCTATTATTAAGCAGTAATCAGAAATCAAGAGGTATAATGCAAAACAAGAAAATGAAAACTGTTCTGAGTGGATGACAGCTTCAAAGTCTGAAGCCTGGTCTTTCCCATAGCTCAACATTTTTCTTTATGTACACAAATACACACATTTTGCTAGGCACCATAGAACTTACCCTGTTCCTTCTTCATAAGATGATTTCCATCTTAACGTTACAGAATAAGGAACAACATCTGTGATAGAAAATTCACGCACTTTAAAAGCTGGGGAAAGAATTGCACACTAGAAAACAAAGACCAAGATTTTATTATATCCACGTAGTCAAATAAATAGCAAGTACAATCACTAAAACCCAAGTGCAAAAAGGCTACGATTCACGTAGGTCACATGGAGGTCCTGCTTATCCCAGAATTTTTAACAGAAACTTCCCGTGCTTAGCAGAAAGTTATTTGAACTGAAAGGCTTAACTAAATTAAAGTAATAGTAACAGATGGTGCTTCCCCAGTGATTGTCAGTAAAGACACCCAGCAAAGCTTCCAACTGACTACACAGAACTGAACAGTGCAATTTGGGCCATCAAATATAACGGGTCTCTAACAAGACCATCCTTCTAACACGACACAGCAGCAAGTTACCAAATGTAATACATTGGAATGCAATATATTTCTGACATGATCACTGTCACCAACTGTTGAAAGAACAAGTAAGATTCTACGTCTTGTTTCAGCTATAGTACCTTTTGCTTTCGGTTAGTTGTATTTCATTAGTACATGATGTTAAAGAAGCAATACTGAAGTTTAATTTCAATAACTATACCTGCAAGGCACAGCCTCTTGCAACAGCTTCATCAGCATTTAGCGTGGTGCTTATCTCTTTACAGAAAAAGTTAGAGATCTGTTCCTTCACTGCTGGAATTCTAGTAGCCCCACCTACTATTTCTATACTGTAGATATCTTCACGCTGAAGTTCTAGAAGAGAGAGTGCATGGCCTTAAGTTATCGCCAAGATATCAAAAAGCTGTCTTTGGACAGCCAAAAAAAAACCAGATAGAGTTCTCTTATCATCGAGACACTGTGACAAGCACTGAATATATTCAACGGCCGACAAGATCTTTAAAACCAGATTTGTCATGACGTGTCCTATTCAAACTTTTTGTCCCTCCTGCAGGCTACGTTTTCTAGTTGCATAATCCCAGAAAACACAGAAGCCAAGCATCAGTAAGGACAGCTGTTCTTTAAAATGCATTGTCCATGTGCATCCCCTTTCTGGTCTGCACAAGCTCAAGTGTGTGTAACTGGGTTTTTTTTGGCAGCCGTGCACTACTGGACAACACTCATCCCTCCCAAACAAGAAGAAAATGAAACCCAAATATACCTCCTTTTATGTTTGGTTTAATTTTGGTTGCCAAAAAAAGAAAAGCAAAACACTTAACTAAAAATATATAATAAATGTTAGACTGTGGTTGCAGGGTAACTTTTTAATTTTGGATTCAAGATATGGGTATAAAGTGATCTCAAACAACCGTCAGTCCTTGAACAGCTCTGCTCAGCAGTTACTCAGGTTCTTACTTCCTGTATTAGCTATCTAGCCGAGTCACAATATAAGCAGAATTCTTCCCTTTCTTTTAGTTAAGGATGCTGGAATTGGGAGTAAAACCTTTTCCTGCGTAACGGATATAATACTACGTTAGGCAAAAAAAAAAAAAAAAAAAAAAAAAATTTTTTTACATGTTTAAAAAAAATTATTTGGCTCTGTCATAGCTTAGCTTTGATTTTGTTCCTCCCAAGTAGCTGAAGAGAAGGTAAAATCTCCATGCTGCTGTCTTGTCCTGCGTAAAGGAAAAAAAAATACGTTAGGAAAAAAAAAAAAAAAAAAAAAAAAAAGTTATTTGCACATGCTTCAGATAAATTATTTCAAGAATATACTGCCAATTTCTCAGGTCAGTGAGGACATGTATGTATCACATATGGAACAGGCTGGCCACACAGTTGCAGTAAAGAATAATAGTTTCTCCCATCGTGGTTTTGGTTTGGTTGTTTTGTGGTTTTAAAGAAAATAATCTTTCAGAGCGCCAACCTTTTCCATTACACAGGGTGAATGAGGGTCAATAAACTAAGGTTGCAGAGTGATATGTGCACTAAATGAGGCAGGAATGGGATCATGCATACATGACAAGCGTATGAATGGAACTTACATTTAACTTTTCAGTACTTAGCTTTGCAATTCTAATAAATACAAAAATATATTAAAAAGATTATCATTAAAGAGATCTAGGATAACTGGATTACTAGTTACTTTCTTGAACCAAAAGTAGTACCTAAATTAACTCCTACTTACTAGCTTGATCCATGGCTGCTCTTAGAGGAGGTTCCACTCTGGACAGAAGGGCTGCACACAATTGCTCAAACTGAGCTCTGCAGGAACAGGGAGAGCGTTTCACATTACCGGACAGCTTCAAGACCACACTTCACTGCACTTCAGTGAAAATAACGCACAGTACCTGTTCATCTTACTGGAGACGTCAAGGTCATTCATGAAGCACTCAATATTGAGTGGAAGGTCAGAAGCATTTGCACTCATAAGCTTCTTTAGCTTTTCACATTCCTGATACAATCGTAGCAGCGCTCGGGGATTCTCTTTTACATTCAGTTTGTATTTCGTTCTAAATTCTTCAGAGAAGTAATCTACCAAAGCCTCATCAAAATTCCTACCACCTACAAAAGGGTCAAAGGTAGTAGCCAAGACCTGCACAGAAGTGAAAGAACAAAGATTAAAAATTATGAGACGATGTTTGTTTAAATGTAGGGATAGCTTTCATACAGACACTAGTTTTGTAAGTTAATACCTTTAAAAACAGGTTTGATAGGGGAAAATTCTTTGCGGTTTTCTCACCATCTTCTATGCTATTGCCAGATACAACAACTTAAAAAGATCACTCGTCAATTATTTAGTGTCTGCTCTCCCTAAATAAAATACTATCACACCTACCACGCTCTTTTCTACCACGCTGCAGCCCCTACTCAGTTTACTAGCTTGCTAAAGAAAAGGCAGACTAGGAGAGCTATTTTGTCATGCTGTTATTACTAGTTCTGTGTCATTTGCTCAAAACAGAAAAACTCACTGTCATCTTCCATACGACTTCAGATGACTACATTTTGCTACCAAAGACAAATTTACAAAAACATTCAGCCATCAGTAGTGGCCAGACAGAAATCTCCCAACCAGGACGTGAAGGTTGTTCAGTTTTACTTCACGGCCTGCTGAATTTAGATTTTGAACAGTCATGGATGGCAGGGGGGAAAGATCATTGAGCAATTCAGGAAGTTCAACAATTTCCCATAGCTAAGTCAGTTGCACAACTACAATGCTTATAAGACTACCAGAATACGCAAATATTTCAGTGATGTAAAATGGCACAAAAACCGTGCAGTATGCTTCATTGTCAAGCACTTTTTCAAAACATACTCTGGGATACTTCATTTCTGCATTTTATAAAACTTGGTTTGCTAAAATAGCCAGAAAAATAACACAAAAGTTTTTGCATTCAGCATTTCAAAAATATTTGCTATAGACATTTACTTAATTAAAAAAAAAAATCTTCCCACAGAACAGTATTTTGAGTATTGTTCAATTAAATACTTCAGGAATGTGGGATTTTACTGTATGACTTAAAAGATTACCTTCAGTTTTCCCTTGTTAAAAGCACAGATTGAGACCTGATACGCAGAATGCCCCATATCTACAAAGACCACATTTCTTGGCTTCTCTTCCAAGGCCGGCAGATCTTGCTTGTATATTCCATAGGCTAATGCAACTGAAAAACACCAACCCGCAGAAGTTAAGGGAAAGCTGTATACAACTGTAGAGCATGCACTAAAAGCAATTCCAAAAGACAGACGCTACTCATGTTTACTCTTTAAAGTAGAGTACTCTAAAGAGTACTCTTTACTCATTTACACCTCCATTACTCAGCTCAAATAGAACGTAAGGGTCAAAAGGGTCACAACTTTTAGACCGTTATGAGTTGCCATGTTCTTTGTTTTCATTCCTTACTCTATGATTTATAGTTTTCCTAGTAAATTACCTCACATTCATTCATATAATTGACATTTAAGTATTCTGTATAACCTAACATCTCTTTTCAACAACAACTGCATGCTGTGCACCATCAAAGCACTAACTTCAACTCAGTAGCATATGTGCCATCATAAATTGAAATTTTTAGATCCAGGATTTATCAGATTGGTTATTTTTGCTTCTGTTTAAGAATTACTGTTCCTATATAAAGCAGCTCATCACAAAGAAAGTTAACACATTTAAAACACATTTTTTACTGTCAAGAGAGGAAACAGATGTCAAGTAAAGGTTTAACACTGCTAAAGCAAGACCTTTATTTGAGTTCTGCTTGTAGCCAAATTAACATTGTAATTTGTGAAACTGCACAGATTAAGTCTCATGCCTCCATCTCTCCTTTCAAATGCCTTACTTTCAGTACTTGTCAGCTCAGCTTTGCAAAATTCAAGCGTGCTCAAGAGATAAAAAAATGTTTTAGAAGACTAGTTTATAGGAATCTAAGATTCCAACACCAGCACTCATTTGGAAGGTAAGTTGGCTGAGACCTTCTAAAAGCAAAGAGAATTTAAATCAGGAAAAAAAAAATAAGTTACTGGTTTAAACGAGTCCAACTTTGCTTCCCATGAAGTGTAACGCATTTCTATACTCTACCCTAAATTCACCAAAACCAGAGGAGAGCAGTAAACAAATTATTTTATAGAAACAACAGTTGTGCCAATGCTACAACGGACAGGACTGCCACAAGTTTAAACTGTCGTTATCCCGCAGACTTATGCTCGACTTGATCTGCATATTTTGAAAAGTCATACAGTTCAAGTTGTTTCTAAACATGACCAGCAAGTCTGCTTTCAGAAAAAGGTCCCTAAAAATGCAGTTTGTGTAGAAGCAGCTTTTAAAGCATACATATTAAGTAGTTAAGAATGAAAAATATTTGCATTACACATTTTAAAGTTTCCCTTCAACGTATTTCACTTCAAATAAATCCTAGCTTATGACAAAAAGGTATTTCTCTAATGAGATTTATTTTTACACCAGCACACCCATCTTCCAGTAAGCTGGAAAGAAAATTAGGAGACCCCATTACACACCTATGTTAAATAAGGTTATTTGCTGGGATCTTTCAGACAGATGCAGGTTACATCTGATAATACTGTACTGCACTATTACTTAACACAACAATTGAGAATTTAGGTCAGGTGCACACCCCAGCTGGATCATTAAGAGACTGTAAAGCTAGCTCAGGCCTTCCTGATACAGCTGCCGTCGCTCCACGGTACAGCAGAGAGATGAGCACAGATACCAGCTTTATTTCTGAAGCAGAGCAGCTATTTTCAAGTGGCACTGTATTCAAGTTAGCAAACCCAAGCTCTCATTATGTCTCCTAAGTGCTGAACACCACCCCAGCAAAACAGTTGCTGTGCTTCCAGTTTCCAAGCTGGATTGGGCAGTACTGGCCTGGATAGCTTTTCCCCCGAGCTCCCAATTATGTAACAGGAGTATGTCATCACCCTCGCAGATGCAATAGCTTGAATGGGTAAGGAGGAAAAAAAAAAAAAAAAAAAGCTTTGCTGCCCTTTACCTGCTGTAGTTTCATTCATCAGCTTCAGACAATTTAATCCCGCGATCTGTGCAGCTGCCATTACAGACCTTCTCTCAGCATCAGTGAAGAAACTGGGTACCTGTTTCCAAAAAATAATTACGTAGGATATTATGAAATATGGACTTTTTAATTTAAAAAAGTCAGACTTACCCATTAAGCCACCCTGTAAATTTCAATACCACAATAAACTGTTATAAGCTAACCTCAGATTAATACGGCAGTCTGAATAAAACAGCTAGGTAATTCATTTCAGTGCATATTTTAACTAAAATTTCAAAATATGACAAAAATGAAGGGACATCCAGAGTTGTTTTAAACAAAGTAGATTTAAGCACCAAAAAAACCCTGAAAACATTTTGTCAGATTCTTCTGATGAGTCTTTGATCTTAAAATCATTACCAGTTTCTGAAAACATTTGTGCAGCACAAAGTCAACACAATAAATATTCGTACATAGCCCTAAAGTAAATTACTGCAGAAGCACTACAGTGGTGCTGGAGCTAAACTTAGTGCTGAACTAAACTTTGTGTTACGGCTGAGTCCGTATCCATTTTTCAGCTATCACCTCTACCCCAGTGCCAGCTTACAGTGCACTACCATACTCAGTTCCACCAAAAATAGCTAAAGCACAATCAGAGCCCACTTAGAAACTGCCTGCAATCAGTTGCTGTATCTTCAGTCCAGCTTAAGACACAGAACTACATTCGTAGTGTATTTCATTAGCTACCACTGTGGTGTATTACCAAGGATCCTTGTTTGTGTGGGAGATATTCTCTGTAAGTGTCTTTGTATACCATAAGGAAGCAAGAATAAAGATGAAAGCAGATTTCCAACAGCTGAAGTATACAGCTTTCCAGTTCCCATGTCTCTGTCTGACAGAAAGGGGGTAACCCCAATACTTCATGCCCAGGCCTCTCACCAGAAGCAAAGCAGTAAACAAAAACAATGTGAAAAGCAGACATTTAAGACTTCGTATCAGGAACAAAAACCTCTTGTCTTCAAGCTCCCCCCCACTCCCCTGCTGTGGGTGAGGACACTAGCTAAAAAAGAAAACCCAACACAAGTAAGCCAGCCAAATCAAGAGACCTTTGCCAACAAATACAGGTACTTTGGGCTTCTCAAACTGCCAGTATGACCCTCAGAGCCATAAAGTTCAGGCAACTCTCAACTACACTACAACCCCAACTGCATTCAACTATGTAACAACAAAGAAATTCAACGTGAATTTGGGAAGGTTCTTTGGAACTGAGGAAAATATGGGAACTGACCTATGTGTAAGCATTTATAACAGGAACTACAGTAATCACAACTACTATACGCAGCACTTGGAGTTCGCCAGTCTGGATCAGCTTAAGAAGTATGTTCTTTCTGAAAACACACTCTTGATTTATTAAATTTTCCATCTTCTCACACATGATTACAAAAGTGCGATTTCTATCCACTACTTCTATCTCTTACCATTGCACCGTGACATAAATGGTACTAGCTTACCTAAGTTATCTGTAAAAACAATTGCAATAAATATATTACAACTTACTGAAATCACGCAGTCTGCCACTGGTTTCTTCAAAGCACTTTCTGAAGTCTCTTTAAGTTTGGCCAATAACATTCCTGTAATCTGTTCAATTGCAAACAGTCTCTCTTCATCTAGGTATCTCACCTGAAACAGAGAATTGCAATTCTGTAATAAATCATCTCAACTTTTCTGTAAGATGTGCAACTTTGACATTTTTTGTAATTTTGAGCAATGAGACGGAAGTTTATCACCAGACTCTGGACACAAATAACTCTCCGTATTAATTGATGCTATGGATTTGTGCTACCTACAACAAATCGTAACAGTTCAGTTTAGCTGAAAATTGTTTTGTGGGAAACCTTAACAGCTGCATTATCTCAAGGGGCTATTCGCAAAGCTACAGTACTTTTGTTTGTTTGGGAAGTTCTTAATAAAAAAAAAATTAGAAAATGCATAATGAACATAGAATCACACTTGTCCTAATATGAGCTAAAAACAAGAGTTTTGGAGAAAACCCAAGGAACATTTGCTTCCTGCAAGGGTCACTCAAGCACATAAGGCAGGCAAGGGGCAAACGAGGCAATTCTAACAGTCCTGCCCTGCTTCAGAAACACATCTGAGTCTTCAGCCTTCATGTGAGGTTCTACATCCTGAATTCCTGACAGGCTGCCGTCTCCCTAGTAATCCCAAACACTCCTGTGCAGAGAAACCCAGAAAGATGAGCAGCAGCTATATTTACGTGGGCAATTAGTATGATAGGAGCAGGTATACAGAACAAAAGAAACTCACTTTGGTATAAAGTCCCGCCAGAAAGCAACCCAAAGTGCACTGGGAGGATAATTGGGAGATTTGCTTCAGAAATGCACTCCTGATCCAAATTAAAATGCTAAAAGCAAGACACGTTCAGAGACTGAAGGCAGAAAGCCTGAACTTTGAGAACAGCAGTTTCCAGCCATTTAGTTTGGAAGCAAATTAAAAATAGCTTGCTCAGATTACATCTTCAGAGCATTATCTTCTTTCCCTGAAACTTTGGTCTCTGCATGTCTGTAAGACCTAAACTCAGATGAGACTTACAATCACACACCGTAATTATATGTATTTGAAGGTAAATTTAGTAAGGTAAGGTGAAAAGCTACTAATGTGACTATAGAAATTGTATTAACAATTGATGAGAAACCTCAACAGACGTCTCTGAGAAAGTACAGTATTTGAGCAGATGCTACTCCAGGGAATAAAGCGTTCTTCATCTCTTGGTAACAGCGGATTTATTACAGTCAATTTTAATGAAGGTGAAAGAAACAAGTGTAACCTTCTTTGGGGTGAGAGCTATTACCGTTTTATAGCACACCTGTATGAGAGACACCGCAATACCTTTTTTACACTATTGTATTACCAGAAGACACGAGTATGTCGTACAGAGCGAGTATTCTAGATCTTCCTGAACATTTAAAGAAGTGAATGAGTTACAAGGAGAAATGAGAAACATCGCAAAACTATGCTAAGGCAGGCTCTTTGAAAAATAAAAGGTCTTACTGTACCTGTTATCACCTGGCATTTCTTTTCAAAATGAATACGAATTATTTAGAGTTTTCTTAAGGAAAATACAAGTCAGTTCAAGTAGGAAGTTAAGTTCAAGTTAAGTCAAGGCCCAAAGTGTTCACCTCCACCACTAGAGATATTCTGCACAAAGCTCTAACTCACCTTTACTCCTATGGAGCCATTTGGCATCTTCTGAAGTTCATAGGGAAGTTTGGCCCTTTCAGCTTGTATGTAAGGATCTTCAAAAGCTCTTCCATGCAGTTTTTTGAAACCATGTACTGTATTTTTTACATTTGTGACAATCTGTGGAAAAAATAGTTTATTTTTAATTACCCATGACATACAGACTACAGAAGACCATCCAGAAAGGAACTCTTGTTACGGTGGGCTTAACGCACATACTGAAGACCCGTTGTCAAGCCCCACACGTTTGCTGGAAAGCAAAGGGTGGGGGGAAGACAAAGAAGCAACTATTTTTTAATCTCTGGTCTCCATTAAAAAAAAAAAAAGCAAATTTAGTTCCCTCTTTAATATCCATTAGCTTGCCACCACCAATTTTCACTGCACTTTTTATTTTAGAGGAGCTTTCTGATACAGTACACAATATTTGAGATCATATTACATGCCGTTGCAACGCCTGCCTGCAGGAACAAATGAAATTATTACCTACATTAACTGTAAATGAAGCTTCAACAAATTAACAGATTTCACTTCCTTTAAAGTTCTCCCCTAATTCAGATCCCATCGGGACATAAAGCCTCCCCACACCTATTCTCTCATCAGTGTTTCAACCCAATTACTTTAAGGACAGAATTTTAAGTAAAGAAAGGACCAGAACAAACAAATCCCAACAAACACAATATTTAAGCTATCAAAAGAAATTACTCCAGGGTGATCGTCTCCAAGATAAACTAGTCTCGTTTACCAGTCTAAATAGCAAACTTCATAGCTGGGAAGAGTACTGACAGGACACCTTCTCAGCAGTGAAGTTCAGGGGTTGAGCTCAGATAAAAAATATAAAGTTTCTCAAAAAGAAAGTGATACAGTCTCTGCATACGCTGACTGCTCCTGGTACTACTGGTGGGCTCTCTTACCTTTATATCCGTCAGGCAAATTTCCAGTTACCTACACTCCACCCTAAGGGGAAGGAATGCTAATGTGATGCATGGATGCAAAGAAATCTATTTGGAATTTGTAGATACACTGGCTATTATGAATTGTTACGTATTTTCCTTCCAAAGGAAGGTTGTTTTCCTAAGGTTGCAAGTGAATTTACAGAGGATTAGAGAAAATTTACTTCTGTTCAAAGTTCCAAATTTAGATAGTAAATTACTAAGATGTATTCATTTCACATTATAAGCAACAACCAGTACCTATAACAAACTTCCATTGTTCAACTTCAGCTTCAACTTTTCTAAAACATAAGCACAGTATTCCTCCCCACCCCCAGTGGAGATTTAATTATGACCTCGATTCTTGCTGTCATGAATAACCAAGAAAAAGACTCTTCTACTGGGAAAGAAACAAGGTTTTCTGTTTCTTCCCATTTTTTATTCTGAATGACGAAACAATGCAGAAATACCGTTTCAATTTTAATACAGGGAATATACTGTTGAAGCAGTAACTATTACTGTGAAATGTACGCTTACTGTAGAGAATTTACTTTAAAACAGAAAAACATCAAGTTTATTCACTACTTCTCTTCCCACAGGTCAACAGGAGACAAGTCAGGTAAGGAATACCAGAGTTTTTGATTCATTTACCTGGCTCTTTGCTGCATTCCCAATGGCCCGGGTCTTGGATCCTAAAGATATACATGCTCTAAGTAAAAACAGAAAGAAAAAGAAATTGAGCTTTAAAAGAAAACGTCATAAAATATTTCCATGGTACTTTAAAACACCCACAAAAATTACAGTAGCAGAATATGGATGTGGTATTTAACAGCATTATTGCATGCAGCAACAGAACTCGCAGTGGAATTTTAGTTATTTTGTTCTTCGCAAATTAGTTTAGAAACAGCAAGCAACCACAATTGTTTTCACTATAATTGCATTTAAGGAATTCTTTAAAAGCTTATGTGTTCTACAGATCTTATCATGAAGGTAAGGAATTAATAGCTGCTTTTGGGCCACAGCTTATAACCAAAGAAGCCTGTGACATTTAATTTAAACACCTCAACTTTACCAGTCAGGTTTTCTTGACTCAGCAACCCCGAAGTCTGACAGTACCACATTCACACTGTAAGAGCCATTAGCAACAATAATCATAAGACAACAATAAAAAACCCCACCTAAGCCCAAGGCAGCTGAACAGCCCAGTTCTACAAACTGTTGAGCACTTCCCGCGACGGAAGACCATCAGGTACACACCACAAACAGGCAAAAGGGGAGATGCCTGGGAACAGCTCCCGGCCACCGAGGGCTTGGGAAGCTCTAGAGTAGTCCACGGCCCCTTGCAGCTTGCTTCTTCTCAGGGTTCCAGCGAGCACCCCTCTCGGCCTCGCCGCTGGCTCTAGCAAAGGCTGCGCCAGGTCCCCAGCCACCACCCGGCCACCTCACTACTGCCTTTGGAAACTACTTCTTTTTGCAAATTACTATCGCCACACCTTCGCTTTCTTTCCCCAAAAGGGAACTGATCATCTCGCTACAGCCACTCAGTTGTAAATAACAGATACAACATGGATTTCATATGGTTCAAATTTAATTGTTTAATGAATGTGTAAAGGTCAGCATAGTAGATTGCTTCCTGCCTCCTCTCCACCATCACCACAATGAGGGCACCGTATGTAATTTGATAGTATTATCTAGCAGCCTCTTCTGCTATAACGTCACACCGAACATGCAAAACCTTCTCCAGATTTAACTGCTGCAAACAGACAATGCATTGCCCTACATTTTCAAATATGTAGTTCAGCTTTCGCAAATGGCTTTTACAGTTTTTAATGTTGCTTAACACAACGGTTCCCAATTATACTTTGTAATAATTAAGAAAACTCAGATAAAAGAGCAATTTAGAAAGGGTGCAAATGGTTTACGAGGCATTTATTTTATGGATAATAACATGCTAATGCTATTATATCACACCTCTTCAGTGTGGGAATTTGCCTCTGTTGACAGAGAGCATTACTTGCAAATACCCCTATGCAAAGCACGAAGCATCGGGTCGGTAGCTACTGAGCCCACCAGGGTTCCTGCCATGGTTGGCTTCAGTCACTCAGTTCCAGCACAAGGGGATGGTTGGTTTCTCCCGCCCTTGGCTGGGAAGCAGAGCTGTCAAAAAATAAAACGTGCTCTCTTTGGCTCCGAGCACTTCAGCTGTATCCAAGGCAGTCCCATAGGAAGCACATCCACCACACAGATACCAGTGTGGCAACTGAACCGTCTCCTCCACCAGTACCCTCAGCCTCCTCTGAAGCCAGCTTTTCAGCAGTACACAGACTTTTCTACAGGTAGCAACTCCCTTCACCAGAAGGACATTTCAATCCTCTACCTGCATTATTTTGAAGATGCTACCTCATCGTTTTAATTACCGTTTGTGATTACGCTAATTACACATAGTCTGAAAAAAGTTACTAAAAAGTTATGAGCTACCAACAATCATCAACTGTTTTTCCACAAAACCACAGTGGTGAGGCACAGCACTTGAAAGGGCCATTTGTCACGAGTTTAACAGGCCCAGCGGACTAGAAACACGCACAACAGACTTGCTGGAGCTCCCGGTTCAGAAAAAGCCAAGTGTCTGTTCTAACACCCGAAGAGAAGTTAAGGCTGAGAGCCTTAAAAAGTACAAGTTCTACTGAAATGGATGGCTTCGTGGCAGAATCTTTCTCCTTTTTATAAAATACTTGTGCTAAAGCTTCGAAGATGACACACACTTTACAAACGCAAACAATCCCATGCCTTAGATTACAGGATGCACGTTTTAGGCAAACAATAAAGGATCACATGCATGTTTTAACAACTGCCACACTGGATTTATCAGTTAAGAGTGCTGTATTAAATTGTGATACTATATACGTTCTATAAGTCTACGCTACTTTTGTCTGTAGCACTGAAGTATGCTTACGCTACCGCTGTACTGCTCACAGCAGTGTTGCACAGGTACCTGAACCAGCTCTGAAACTGGAAGCCGACTGCACTAATTAGCCTTGCCCAGAAAGAGCAATTAGCCCTGTAGAGCACAGCCAGGACTGTCCTATCTTTAGGACCTAACCCAGTATCTTTACATGGCTTAATAACAACACACTGCGCCTGAAAGTGTACTAGCTTGTCCAGAGCTAGTTCAGGTATTTTTATACCACGTTATACAGGCACAGCAAACATTAACACTTCGTATTTCTGCGAGCAAATCCCAAGTATTTGGGACGTATCCAATCCACGTTAACCATTAGCTAACTTCAAGTATCTAAATGACATAAGCATCTCTATAGGAACAGATAAACAAAGAGTTCATTTACTGTGTTGCTATGTGTAATAAGCAGAAAAGTTTTGACGACTTAAGAGTTAGATCTGCCTACATCACTCAAATTCTGTGTGAGGTAAGGTTTAGTTACTATGATAAACTTCCGTAACAGTAACAAACCTGTTCAATTTCTATTTACTTTTTTGGTTTGCCTCAAAACAATAGCATTAGGAAGGAAGTTCCTCACTTTCTCCTATATTACTTTTTGGAGAAAAGGAAGAAAAAAAGCCAGAAAAAACGGCACTTTAAGCAAGATAACTAATGCCTTTAAGTGTCTGTGCACTCCAGACGCTATCTCGCTAACTTTACTTTAAACTCCTTTCAATAATCACTTCGTAATGTCTGAGTAACTGTACTTTCAAGACATGTAATGTGGAAAATGTTAAATGCAAGGAAACCTACATGAAGCCTACCTGCAAAGAACGCACTCCAAGAAGAGCTAAGAACTGGGAGTGCTCTTCTTCATAAGGGGGAAGGAGACTGCAGCTGCCTGAGGATTCTCTGGGCAACAATTTCAGGGGGTTCCTTGCACAGAATTTGAAAGGTCACAGAATTTCAGTTCTCATAAAACATGCACAAGGATAACGCCTTCTTAAGAGTTAATGCGAGAAGCATATTTTTCTAAGTAGTAAAAAGAATTTTAAAAAGTATTCCCATTAATACAGATGGGATGCATTTTGGCGTTCAACTTCCCGTACTTTTAAAAAAACTTTTTAGAAAGCAAAACAAAACCTATGTTTCTCAGAGATGAAAAAGACAGCAATGCTGAAGTTGCTACGGCCTCTCATCGCAGAAACAGCTTTCTGCTGTTGGCTACAAATTCCTTTTACAAAAGGAAGCACCATTCAAAACCTGATTTTTATGAGTATTACAGGAATTCCTGCGTCCTCCTTGGAAATTATGCACAGATGGAGCTCTAAAAATCCTAGACGTATCCCATAGAAACCGAAGAGAACAATCTCCACCTACTCTTGCGTATCCCATCATCACGGACGCTGCCCGCTGCCCCCCTCCCCTTGCTTGCAAGACCTCGGTATTCCAGGGCCAGCAGATGCAAGCGAGAACAGGTTTAAGAAGAGAGAACTCACCGCGCCACTTCCCTGTTCCCTGGTGAATCAACCTCCTCCTCCTCCTCCTCCCCGCTCTCCATCACGAAATTGTTAATGAAAAAGCTTCACGCCCTGGGCAAGCGTTCTAGAGTTGGGGACACACATGCGCTTACCCGAGATCTTTGCTACGCCAAGCCAAAGTGTGTGTGACAAGGACAGAAACCCCCCACTGTGCCCGAGGAGCGGCGCGGCGCGGCACACCGCGGGACCTCAAGGACGCGGCCGCCGGGAGCCGGGGGCAGGCGACGGTTTCTCGGAGAGCCTCCTGCCCTGCG